CGGCCGGTGCGGGGTCGCTGCGGCGGTAACGGTGTGGTCGGTGTGTTGGAGCAGGGCAGCCCCACAAGAGGCGGAGGACGTCTGAGCCGTCGGAGATCGAGGAGAGACTCGAATCGCTCATCTGCAGGGTGGGAGAGAAGGTAGGCAGGCCGCCTCCCGGGCGGGGACGGGGACGGGGCCTGGGCGGCGGCTCCAGACGGGTAAAGTTGTTTTTTTTCTCCTCTTTCTGTGTATCGTGTGTTAGCGGTTCATCTGTAACAAACACCCGTAAAGAAAAGATTTTTTGTTTTATGAGATAGTAGGAAAGTTGTCAGGTGTTGCAAAACCTTATGCTAAAACGGGCTTGTGCTTCAATAGTAGTGTTGTGTTTTCCAAGCAACGATAAACGGCCAGCGAGTTGTTATCACTGTGCATCTGCGGACATTGTTGCTGGTTCCACTCTGCCAAGGATGTGGAGGAGTTAAGTGGGTCTGCCTGTGGCATGACCTTCAAGACCTGACAGGATCTGAGGCTGACCAAAAGGGGGGGGGGGGTAAGAGGAAAAGGATAAAAATGATAGTGCACTGATATTATGTAAGGTAAAACCAAGACGTTTTGTTTCATCCTGTATCATTAATGTACTGCTCAGTCGCCTCACTGAGGTGTCCTTGTGTGGGAGTTGGGTGATGGTGTGCAGCTCTTGCGAGCGGTAGTTGTTCCTTCTTTCAGGCAAGTGAAAGCGATTCTTTACTGCTAACAGAACTGAATTGTTGGGCTGAAAAAGGAGGTGACATAAAAGGATGCTCTTGCCCAACTTCCTAGTCTTCCACGTCAGAGTCTGGGGCTCGTTTGTTTTGCCTGGTTGATGATGAAACTTTTAAAATTTTTTGTATTTTAGAGTAATTCATCCTTGGAGAGCAACTTGGAAGGCCTAGCTGGTGTTTTGGAAGCTGATCTACCAAATTACAAAAGCAAGATACTAAGAATACTATGTACTGTGTACGTATGCAGGAGGTCTGGGAATCTGGGAGGCGCTTTCTTCTCTGTGCATAAGTTTAAGTGTTTAAGGTAGTTTCAATGCCAAGAGCGGCTTTAGATCCTGACTGCTGTTATAGCGTAGAGTTTGTTTTACTAGAAACAAAAGACATAGAGGAATAAGCTTACTACGTACTATGTATAATTCAAGAAAAATACCTCTTTACATTTCTTTGGCCTGAAAAGTGTACAAAGGCTTAAAGCAGATAGAAGAAACCGCAGAGCTGCTCTTCAGTAGCAATGAGAACACAGTGGTGCTGGGCAATATTCTGTTTCTCAATGAAATGCTTAAAAGCACTGAAGCTATTGGCTGCTAACACTTATTTAGTCTTGTTATCTGTGCTGTTTTCGTGTTGCCCATTCTTCTTCTCTGGCAACGAGATGCTCGTGTCTTTGTAAGCCCGTCCTCTGGAGGAGGGGAGCTGGGAACAGAAAGAGCTGAAAGCAAGCTCTCCAGTGGCTGCTGGCTCTGCTTCCTTTCCTCAGCAAAGCGTGGGAGCAGAGGTACCCTGTGTCAGGGTCACTGAGCGGTGCCTGAGGGAGGGGTTGTGCAGGGTCTGCCCTAGCAGGCAAGAGAAGTATGAAGGAGGGGTGTGGTGAAGGGGGAGAGTGTTCCAGCCCTACCTTGTGCTGTGGTTTTGCAGATACTTTGAATCTGTTTTGTAGCAATGTTTGTTAATAGAAGGCAAATAGTACATTTTTTTCCTACAGCAGTAAGGCAGTTCTGAAAGTACAGGGTTAGCTTACATGCATACAGAAATGGTTGAGGAAAATTAATTCCTTACAGCAGGACCTGGCCTTCTCCATGCTGTGCTTAAAATCAGTTACTTTGACTTGAGAAATTTGGAATAAAAATTAATAGCATAAAATGTGTACGCCTCTTGTGTAATCTTGCTGATGCTGCATAATAAAATTACTTCTAAATTGCAAACTTGCAACAACTTCTTACATCCTTGCATAGGTTCTGTCACTGATATTTTTTTGGCCAACCCTCTGGAATACTCAGCAATTAGATATAAATAAAAAGCAAATACCCTAAATGTTCTTGAAAGTGGCGCCTGCCTTTCTAAGTGACTGTAGTTAAAAGAAAGATTTTCTGTAAAATATCGACCACGGGATAGAACTGTAAGATCATTCTAGCACTTCTTTGCTGTTTCCTTCTGAGACAAGTTGAACTTAGAGTAAGCAGATTCTAAGATGCTATGCAGTTGCCCATTGGCACATGATGAATAAAAAACTAACTCCATGTTTCTTTTTCTGTGTCAGTGCACGTCTGTTACCAGAAAAGCTTACTGTTTACACAACACTAGTTGGGTTGCTGAATGCCAGGAACTACAATTTTGGTGGGGAATTTGTAGAAGCCATGATTCGTCAGCTTAAAGAATGTCTGAAAGTCAATATGTATAACGAAGCTGTGCATTTAGTAAGTGGTTTTTTTGTTTGTTTGCTTGTTTTACATTTTTCCTCATCCTTTTTCCCTCCTCCTTCTTCCACCTTTTTGTTCCAGAAGAGCTGGGCTTTTCAGTGTGTATTACAGTCTCTTCTGGCATCAACGTGCAGTGCACTGTAGATGCACCAAGAGGAAATGTGTGTTATGTGAGAAGTATTCCTTCCTCAGGGGAGAGAAATCGTATTACAGTTGCAAAATTGACTTCCAACTGTATATTTTCCCAGTGACAAATTAATTTGCAGTAAACAGAGGTGCTACCCCCCTCACCTGTTCTACAGTCAAATGTAACCGATGAAAGTCTTACACTTTTATTGTGTTCAGAGATGTATGATGTTCTTGTGGCTCCCATGGGAAAAAAAAAAAAACAACTGAAAAGAAAATCAACAGTCTGGTTCTTAGAAGCTATATTTGATGGCTGTTATCAGGCCTGTGTTGTCATTCTGCTAATGAGGGGTGAAGATCGAAGATCAAGCGGGCTGTCTGTCTTTGAAACCATTTGCTCAGCTCTGGCAGCTTATAGATTTTGTCTGCAAAAAGGTATTAGGGCTTCAGCGGTGTCTGATTTAGAAGTCCGGTGCCAAGCTCCCCAGCTTCTTTTGAAGCCCAGTGGTGAAAATTAAGTATTTCAATGTATTTTGTCAAGGGGTTGCTGTTTAGCTGTGGGACACTTTTGCTAATAAGATCCTCGTTAGAACTCTGAATGTTCTGTCCCTTGACTTCAGCTTCACTTTCTCTGGTCATGCTCATACACAAATGACTTGTGAGAGTAACAACTAAGGGAGTGGCAGTGGAAAACTTTCCTCAGCTTTGTCAAAGACTTTTCAAAGACCGTTGAGAGCAATGAATATCTGGAAAGTAAGACTTTGGTATTTTTCTCTATTGCAGTTGCTCTTTGAGTACTGAACTGTCTGCTTAGCCCAATTTGCTTTCCCAAGACTTCTTCTCAATGATCTGCCTTCAGATCAAAATACCTGTGTTGCTTTTTTTGGACTACTTTTTGTGAATGTGCCTTAAGAAAAAATGAGCCTTTAAGAAAAAATATGCGAGATTTTAATTGCTAGAATTTCAACCTATATTGTCTGTTAAGATTGTGGTGATACTGGGAGAGCTTGGGTCCTACTAGTGCCTTGTTTGAGTCTGAAGGCAGGGTACAAATCAAAAGAGAGAGGGGAAAAAAAACAAAGGGTACTGCTCTGCCCCAGATGTTTTCTATTTGAATTCCCGTTTCTGTCAGTCTGGATTTTTTACTAGAGTGCAGCCAAATCAAGGATATACTCTTGCTGTGAAAATTTTTTTCTTCCCAGGCAAATAAGGCCATTTGATTCCCAGCACGTGATCAGTCTGTCACATTTCTGAAGCCTGAAAATGCCAGCAGTTTTTACATAGACTCTTTCTGTGTAACTATCTGTATTTATGAATAAATTATAGAAATTAATCGTGTATAATGGCATACAGATTCAGCACTGCTGTTTCCCAGTGCACATCTGGACTCATGAAGCAATGGATCAGTCCATCTTCAGCTTTTTAGAAGTTTTTTTTCCTTCTACTTCTGTAATTTTAGTGATCTGATACAATTTAGAGTAGATAGAAGCACAGGGTTTCTTTTCTGTAGTATTGGTTTGCATGTTTGTCTTTGAATGCATACTGGTGTTTCCCACCCTGCCTTAGATATAGTATCCTTGCAATGTTATTGCAGTGAAACAGACTACAGACATTATAATGAACAGTACATGAGGCAGTGTTTATGGTGCTTGTTTTCCAGGGTTGAAAGGTGGGTCTGTACAGTGTGCAGTATTTCTGCCTTGATAGTACTGGATTAATATTGTACTTTTATCGATGGTTTGGTTTAGTTGTTTAAGTAAAGCTTATTTGTACTTGTAAAGTCAGTTTAAAAAGTATTCATTTAAAACAATTTTTTTGGTCTTTTTTAGGTTCGTTTTCTGTCTGATCTTGTGAATTGTCATGTAATAGCTGCACCTTCCATGGTAGCTATGTTTGAGAACTTTGTGAGTGTGACACAGGAGGAAGACGTACCCCAAGTAAGCAAAAGATCTGTAGGCTCCTCTAGTGCTGTTTTCACAATTTTTTTGTGCTGTTGCTTCTCTACTTATGCTTAGAACAGGGAAGTTTTCGAGCTAGCACACTAAATGGACTGTCATGTGCAGTTTGCTTAGCTTGAGTAAAAGGAGCCTGTAGCAATTAGAAAATACAAGCATACGGTAAGAAAGTATGGTCCTTTATAGTGAGGTAGCTGAAGTGAGTTCATTTTACTTTGGCAAGTGCATGGTGTCTGGCTTGTTCTGCTATACTGATAATCTGCAGAAGGACTGTGAAAGTGATACCTTTTTTTAAGTCTGCTTGTCATGGTTCAAGTTAAAAATTACACATTTCAAGCAAGAATATATTTTTTTCATGGCTTGCCAATCCAGTCTTCAGCTGCTTGTCTTTACATCCTCCCAAAATAATAGTTTTGCTAATGTTTTAATTTAAATTAAAATGGGGTGTGTGTACGAAAGAGCTTACTTGTATACTTAAATTTCAGTATATTTCTTTCCTATAGGTACGATGTGACTGGTATATGTTTGCATTTCTGTCATCTTTGCCTTGGGTTGGAAAGGAGTTGTATGAGAAAAAGGACGCTGAAATGGATCGTCTCTTGTCTCAGACAGAAAGCTATTTGAAGTAAGTTATAGCACATTAAAATACTCTTTTCGGTGTCTATTCAAGTATGGATTAATAGCTTTGATTGTTGCTCACTTAGAAGTATTCTAAAGTCTTAGGTCTGGACCATTCAGTAGGGAGAAAAAAAACCCTGAAAATAGAATAGGTGGAGAGATTTGAAAAGTTTTATTGTCTTGTCTAGTTCTAGGGTATGTTGAAGGTCTTGTTCTGCTTATGCTGGAGCAGCTGCAGTTGTAAGTGTGCTGTGAATACTGATAGGTTGTTGCTTTAGTGCTCTGCAGTGTGACTGCTTTCTGTCTAGGTGCTTCAAGTTAACACTGTCGTCAAGATTAGATAACAGAGATATTTTAAGTAATCACAGACCTTTTTATATACTGTAGACTTCATCAGCTGAAGAGATCAAATAGTAGTACACTTGCAATAAGAAAAAATTCCTGCTCTAAGTTAGTCTTTTAAAGGTCAGATTTTCTTTCCTGTGTAAACAGACGCCGCCAGAAGATTCACGTACCCATGCTACAAGTTTGGACTGCTGATAAACCACATCCACAAGAAGAGGTGAGTGGACTTTACATTGCATTCTTTCAGAAAGTTTGAAAAACAATTTTTTACTAAGGTGTTCTTTTATCATGAAATTAAAAAAGCACCTCTGAAAGTATTAAAGCTTTGAATTGTCTCCTGTTTGTCATTAATTCTAACAAGTTCTACATGAGGAATTGTCTTCTAAGGCTTGGGCCTAAATATAAGGTTGTATGGGGTGAGCAGGAGACTGTTTTGTTGTTTGCTGACAGGCCCCTGAGAAAATACTACAAAGTGAGGAGTGGCTGTAAATTGTAGTATTTGTTTTGGAATTGCTGATACAGAGCTTTGTGTTAAAAGGGCCTTTGTGAGAAGCAGAATGTAATTCCTTACTTATCCCTTAATGTTTTCCTGTCGTGGTTTAAGCCCAGCCAGCAACTAATCTCCACACAGCCGCTCGCTCACTCCCCCACCTCCACTGGAGGGATGAGGGAGAGAATTGGAAGGGTAAAAGTGAGAAAACTCGTGGGTTGAGATAAGAACAGTTTAATAATTGAAATAAAATAAAGTAAAATAGTAGTAGTAGTA